TTTTTAATAAAAGACATTCATCCTTGCGTGGTGTGATCAATAGATCATTCGGAGTTTGGAAGAAGAAATGGGTAATTCTGCGTGATATGTCAACTTATCCATTTACAAAACAAGTCCAGATTGTAGTGACAACAATGACACTACACAACTTCATTAGACGACATCATTCCAAGACAGATGCAGAGTTTGCCATTATAGAAGAAGATTCATTGCAAATACCACCCGAGACATTTGAATACCACGTTGAACGTTCTATCCCACAAATTGATATTGATTCACCTGAGTCACAAACCCCAGATGGTGAAGGCGCTTCAGAGATGGCGAGTTTGAGAGAGCAAATAACAAATGACATAAACCTAGGCATTTAGATTTGATTACATATTATGTCTTTCAATTATGTTTTATTATTTCCTTCATATTAAACCTATGCTATAGATGACTTTTAATGGTGACGTGCACATATGCTTAGCTCAAATTTCACATATTATTTTCTTCATGTTAAAGCTATGTTATTAAATGGCAGCAGACCTATTATACTTCATGTCTTCATTACTATGGTATTTAAATTGTGGGAGTTTTTATCTTTCTTGAGCATTTTAACAATGACTTGAATGCATTGCTGCTTTGCATTGTTGTTGTTGGAGATTGTGATTGGTATGAAATGACTTTAATTCAATTATGTTTTATTTCTTTGCTTCTCATCTAAATGCAATATAATGGCAGTCGTTCAATTGAACCTGGGCAAACATTTATGGAGTTCATGCATCGCCTGTATTGGAAGGCTATCAATTTATGGAGTTGATGCATTTCCTGTATTGGAAGGCTATCAATTTTTTTTTTCTGCATTGTCTTTATTTCCTTGCTTTGAATGATATGGATTATTATGGATTTGTTAAGCAATAAAATGGCGCATTTACATACATACCACTCAATTCTCATGAAAATAAAGTGGCATGTCATAGCCAATTTGTCTTGCTTAGACATTCAAAAGTGTTTTTAAGTTGACTTGCTTCAAATTGTAAGTGTACATGCTTGGTTTCAGTTGATATGCCGTGACTTCTATATGCCTTGGCTTATATATCGTGGCTTCTACATTAAGATGTATTTCAATTTTTAAATATAGGTGTTAGATATGTTAATACATAAGAATCACATGGTAACCACAAAGTATGTTTGTTGTTTATATATCAAACTTTGGGTGTTAGATTTGTAAATATGCAGGAATTGTGGTGGTATGATTTCTGTTCTTCAAAAAGGAGGTTGAATATTCAAATCTGAGTGAGGGAACCCAGTATGTTTGCTGTTTAAGCTTGTTTATAAATGGTTGGTTTACCGTTTAACCACAAAGTCATTTCTTTGATGAGGGAACCCAAAAATTGTGGTGAGGGAACCCAAGAATTGTGGTGGTAGCTTTAACATATGTTTAAAATTAGTTGGTTTACTGTTCAGTTTACTTGCTTCTAATTGTAAGTGTACCTATTTGGTTTTCAGTTGATATGTTGTGTCTTCTATATGCCTTGGCTTATATGTCGTGACTTCTACATTAAGGTGCATTTCAATTTTTAAATATAGGTGTTAAATATGTTAATACATAAGAATCACGTGGTATGCATTGAAATATTGAGTTGTTTCTATACATGGCACTCAAAGCATTTTATTAGCGGGTTTATTCAGAGGAGAAAATAGCTTGTGTTATGTTATTGAAAAAAAAGGCTTGGATTTGTGGCTGCTAAAAGATGCCAATTCAGTAATTTTAGTTTAAAATCAATGCTCTTTCTCTCAGGTTCTATTTAATTATGTTTACATACATAACACTCAAAACATTCAATTTATGGATGATGAAGGATGCCAATTCGTACAAACTGCAAATGTATCTTTTGGCCTGGAAGTTGTGGCAATGGCTGCTAATTGTTCAAACAAAAAATTTACATTTAAGGGCATTCCCCAATTTTTTTTTCAATATAGTTGTTCGAGAGATTGGTTTGTTTACAACATTACCTTCCAGGAGATCAAACCTTGCCCCCTTGCTTTTTTATGTTTATTGTTTTTATTCATATAATAGTGGAGCACCTTGGATGACCAAAGAACTCTGTTGCAATCATTGCTTCCACACTTTGGTAAGTTGATTTTTTTTTATTCCCTCTAGTTTTTGACTGATCTACGCTTTTTAAAATAATTACAGGACAATGAGCTCGATGTATTCAGGGAAGTCAAGGCAAATGATGTGCCGATGTGGGCTACCGTCAATGCTATTCATGTCACGACAGACACATAACTACGGACAATAATTCTACAGGTGCTCGCGGTAGGGACAAAGACCGGACGACTACAAATTCTTCAGGTGGGCCAACAGTGGAACTATTTCTACGATATCCCAATTGGATACAGCTGCTAGGAGTTCAATAGTACCACAACGGGAGAACGCCGCATGTGGTTCGAGTTCTTCCGTTTCTACGATATCGCAGTCAGACAGGTTTGCTCAAGGTTTTGGAGTGTCAGATGCAGGTGACATGGGCCGTGATATGCTACTACATTATAAAGTTAACATTATCATATTTTTACTTGTTATTTTAACATGTTATTTTTTCTTTTTTATGAGCTCTTATTATACTTTGTAGTAGTATGTGCTGATGCATTTGACTTTTGTATGTGTAACATGTTAGTTTGATGTAATCAGATATGTTTTAGTTGCTAGTTTGATGTAGTCAGATATGTTTTAGTTATATAAATATAAGTCAACTTTCTTGTTTTTTCTTGTCTGAATATTTTTCTTAAATTTTGTTGAGAAAATAACAAATTCTTCTGCACACATTATTCATTAAACTATAAAAATTTACAAATAAGCTGTTTACAAAATGCATTAACCAAACAGTTAAACAACTTATTCAGAACAGGGGCAGAATGATCAATTTTCCAGAATCACCTGTTTTCCAAACGCACTAACCAAACAACTAGACAACTTATCCGGATCAGCTGGTCATCAGTAGAATATCAGGATAAGCTGCTTATCAGCAGAAGTTGGATAAGCTACAACTACCCCAAACAGACCCTGAGTCTAATTTGAACAAATTTTTTAAAAGTCATTTCAAATAAAATAAAAATTGAAAGAGCCCAATATCAATATAGGCTGACTTAAATTTGGCAGCCCTAGCAGGAAGTGATTAATAACATAGACTACATAAAAAAACACAAATTTACCTTAAGTCAAACTCGGCAAGTCCGCGGCGCTGCTCCGCGTTCGCGATTGTTATTACGCCCGGCTCGAAGCCGCACCCAAATTTGCGTACATAAGACGTACGCAGAGCTGCGTACGTCTGTAACCTGCAAACATGTTACAGGGAGGATTTCAGGAGGTTATAACCACGTTATACATCCTGTAACCTCCCTGTAACCTACATCTACCTCGTTTTTACACGCTCCTGTTTTCATATATAAATAAATTACAAAGAAATTACAGGGTATAATACGATTATAACCTCCTGAAATCCTCTTGCTGCCTGTTTGCCCGTAACCTGTTTGCACGTAAGCAGCTCTGTTACAAAGAGATTAATACGGTTATAACCTCCTGAAATCCTCCTGAAATCCTCTTCTGCTTGTTTGCCCGTAACCTGTTTGCACGTAAGCAGCTCTGTCCTGAAACCGCGCGGAGAAGTTTTTTCTGAGCCCCGTGCTTGGCGCTCAGCCTCCCGCCGCTCCTCCCGCCGTCCTTTCCCCAGCTACGCCGCTGCTCCTCTTTCACCGTCGCTCGGGTGTGGAGTCCCGATCAAAGCCAGTACTCCAGATCGGTATTTCTCCTCCTAATTTTTTCTTCATATTTTGCTGTTCTACTTCTTCTTGGTTTGGTATTCCAGGGAGTCCTTTATATTGGAGTTCTGTGAGAAATCAGAGAGCAAGGATTCAGTAAGATAGTTCTACTTAAATTTCAAATAGATCCCTAAATGCGTTCCCTTCACCTGCAATGGTGATGTAGATGCTTGGAATGCTTGTGCCTTCGAGGGTAACCACTTTTTCCATGAGTCAGTGGTTGGTGTATTTTTTTTCAAGTAAAGTGCTAAGTTAGTCCCTAGACTCTTTAAAGTGGTGCTGAATGATCATCCATGGGGATGATGCTTAAGGGTCTGGAAGGCGCTCTTTGTTCCTATCAAAGGTGCTTCATCGATCTTGTTCTCTTGCAATGGCGATGTAGCAGTTGTGATGGTGTATGCTTTTGCTGGAAACCAATGCTTTCATGCGTCAATGTTTGAGGACATGTGAATGCTTAATCTTTTTGATGGTATAAAGGCGAATTTGAGCTTCAGATTTCTCTTTTCCTTTCCTCTTTTCAATGTCTTAGTTCTGTTTTATAACCCTTTTTTGAAAGATTCCTGTGCGATTGCCACAAGATATTCTTTAGGTGACCATTGCTGTCCTTGCCACTTGGGATTCATGCATAGTGATCTGTGGCAAACTTGACTACTTATCTTGGACATTTTGGCACGATTGCGGGCTTTTCTCGTTTAGATGATTGCCTTGGGCTCCCTCTGGCAAACTATTCAATATTTGTCCTTGGCAGTTTGGGATCACTTTTTGTTTTTTTTCCTTCTTTTATGTTTAATATGAAATAAAAACATAATTTGTATCAAAATACGCATTTCTGTTTTTACTGGTTATTGCTCAAGATGGTTATGGTTGGCAGGGTTGGCTACGTCTGTTTGTTTTAGAGATGTTTAACTGGGTTTGTTAGTGAAACAGAGTCAAGGCTTCTTTATATATTCTGTAACTATTCCTAGTTATTCCTAATCAAATTCGATAACTATTCCTGTTCTTTTTATTAATTCCTAGTTATTGCTTGCTTCTCTCCATCATGGATCAAACTCATTGCAATGTTGAGCAGGATCCCTTTTGATGGTCCTTCAGAGATGTCTGCTATTATCATTCTAGAAACCTGGAGCTGCTTGGGTGTCCCATGAATGCATTGCTAACCATTGCATCCCATGCCTTTGTGGTATAGATTTTTTGGGTGGTTTTGATGGTGTTGTTTGCCTTTAATCCCACTTGTAATACATAACAAATGACTTGTATGCATTTAAATCTTCCTTCGAAGTAAATGAGCTTGCACATGTTTTCGTCAACGCATACCATATGTGTAATCAATAAGCTTTTCAAGGATTTGGTGTAACATTTCTCTGTATCGATAGCATTACCTCAAACTATCATTTCTTCCACTAATTTTTCGCACTATACATAAGATAGAATTTATGGTGTACATGCTTAAACTATCCCCAAATTAATTCTTGATCGCACATCGCTTTTAGCTGAGCATTCCACCATGTCAAATCATGGTAGCTAGCATATGGTTAGGAAAGGCTACCTTGTCAAAGAGTATTATACCCATATAAGATCATATACATATACAGTTGGTTTATCCATACATCTAACATATCTTCATTGATATTTCCATCATTAGTCATGATTTCCAAATTTGTTTCCGCCGGAGTTGGTTTTTTTTTAACAATATTAATCAATTGCATATATATACATATCTAACACTTAAATTTTTTTTTCATAACCATAATTAATTCCATATATTTCATATCTAACACTTAGATTTACTTTATTCCATAAATTTTATTACATAACCATAATTAAGTCTTTTTGTCTCTCTCAGCATCTGCCCTAACTCTGAATATCGGATCTCTTAACCTCCCCTGTCCTGTATTTTTGGTGCTCTGAGGATCTATCCTTCTTCCTCCAACGATGAAAATGTAAGCAACCTAATGACTTTGCTCTTCGGATTACTCTATCTCAGATCACTAGTTACTTGTTTTTCTTCCATTGTATGCCTTTTTGCGCGGCCGAATTGGCACGTAAAGTTGTGGTTTTCTAAGATTTTCGGGACATATGGCAACAGATCTCCATCTATTACGTTGCTTAGCTATTTGTTGCTTGCTTTGCTTGTTGGCACCGAAACATTTTTGAGAAACTCAGGGGTTGTTTTGTAGCGTACAATTGGTGGCTGTGTTGTTGCAAGTAGGAATTAGTTTGAATAAGATTTAGTAAATCTGAAAGTCAGGATTTATCAAATCCAAATGCTGTTAAATCATGAAAACTGTTTGGTATGCTTAATGTTAATTCTAGTTAAATACGTTTGAATTGTTTGTCATTTTGTTTCAGGATTTAACAATAACTAGTTTGAGTAGGATTAAATATGAAGTATTTATAATAAAGAATAGAATGCAAAGCCATACTTCTTACACAACAACGTCATTCTTTTCAAATATAGCCACAACAATACAAAATACTTAAAGAGACATGTTTCTAACAAGTTATTTCCATTTCTCTCAAATATACATACACAACATCATTGTAGAGGAAATAATATTGACACTTAAAATTGAGTAATTCCAACTATTCTAATATTATGTAGAACCCATAGCCCAATTTATGTAAATTCCAATAAGAGAAGAAGAAAACCTTTTCATGATCACAATACATGTAGCGCCCTGGTATTGGAGTGTGTTGGTACTTGAGAATCACCAAGTCATTCGAAAGGATATATAAATTTTGTTCATCAATGTGAGAAGAAGAAGAAGAAATGAACAAATAAGACAACTCCAATGAAAATATGTCCAATAATATAAGTAAAGATGATTTGCTACGCTTTGACTCCAACGGTAAGGTTAGGTGTTGTTACTTGAGAAGCTATAGGTCATCAAAACATGCTTGTACATTTAATTTGTATCATTTATTATTCAAAGTTTAATGAAATGATTTATATTTTTATTTAATAAAAATACCACTCAAAATTGCACGAATACACAGTTCTCTCAAATAAAACAATGATCATAGGTGCCCGAGCGTAAAAGAAAAGCGATATTTGGGGCCTGTCGACCTCAAATAACGTTTCCTTTTTAAAGAATATATATATAATATGAAATTTATATCAAAGTTTATGCTGAAAATTACTATTGATCGACGCTAAGAAAAAATTGTATATTTAGGTAAAATTTTGATTAAAAAAATTATGTCATCAGGAATCATATACATTCTGAAAATTTTAACATAAATATAATGAATTTGCTCCGAAATTATAATACAAAAATAATATATAATGGTGGAATTCCATTAATGCTTAAAGAACAAATTGACAAAATTTTTAATGGAATTTTTGTTGATTCACATACTTATTTATTTCTTCACAACAGAGTAAGAACACAAAAAATGAATCCAATAAATTATGCAAAATTAAACTCAGGAGCTTAACAACCAACCTTCACTCAAGCACTGACTTCATTATTTGCAGTCTCATTAATGTAGGAAAGTAATAATCAATGATACCCCAAATCGGTTTGTGACTTCAAATTTAGATGACACTAAGATCAACTAAGCTACCACCAAATATATTGCTAAAATTTTATATATTATATAAGTAAATATAAAGTTCAATTGTCAGTTATGAAAATACATATGAATGCTCTAGTACGCATATGCATTCCCTTATTTTATTTTACTAAAAACTTATTTAGGTGGGACAAGTTAAGAAAGGAGCTAATCAAGGAATGTCATGACTCTTTATGGGCAGGACATTCACGTATGAAGCTACATAACACTTCTAAAAATAAATTACTATTGGCCAGGGTTGAATGATGGGATAGAAGAATATGTTCATACTTGTCTTGTATACCAACAAGATAAATTAGTTCTTCAACTACTATGGGGGTTGTTCGAATCGCTACCCTTTCCTCGAAGGCCTTAGGAGAGCGTCTCTATGGACTTCATCTCTAGCTTACCAAAATCAGACGGATTTGGAAGCATCTTTTTTTTGGTGGATAGATTTAGCAAGTATGCAATATTCATTGCTGCTCCCACCGACTGTACTGCTAACGAAGTTGCAAGTCTCTTTCTATGTAATGTGGTAAAGCTATGGGGGATACCACAAAACATCATCAGCGATCAAGATCCTCGCTTCACTGGAGGTTTTTGGACCGAATTATTAAAAATGTTGGAGTCAGATCTAAACTTTTTTACAAGCTTTCATTCTCAGAGCGATTGACAAATTGAGAGGATCAATGCCCTCTTAGAGCTATACTTTCAACACTATGTGAGTGTCAATCAACAAAATTGGGCCAAATTTTTGGATATGACACAATTTTCTTTCAACATACAAACAAAGAAATCCACCAACAAGAATCCCTTCGAGATAATCATGGGACAACAACCCATAACTCCCCTCTCCCTTACAACCAACTATGAAGGGAAAAGTCCACCAGCCTTCAAGTTTGCCAAATCCTGGAGTGAGCAAAGGGAGCTAGCTCGAGCAACATTACACAATGTCTCAAAGAAGATGAAGAAGTGGGTAGACAAAAAATGAAGATATATCGAGTTCAAAGAAGGAGATCTAGTCCTCATGACGCTTCTACCCCAACAATTCGAAACATTTCAGAAGTTACATAAAAGATTGATTCGAAGATACGAAAGCCCTTTTAAAGTAATGAAGCAGATGGAAAATGTCTCTTATAAACTCAACCTTCCACTAAAATTGAAGATACATCCAGTCTTTCACGTGAGCATGTTGAAGCCTTATCAGGAAGACATGGAAGACCTTTCAAGGGAGATCTCCAAGCGAGCGCCTACAGCGGTAATCTCCTCCTTCGACAAAAAAGTTCAAGTAATACTAGCTGACAGAGTGATCAGAAAACGAGGGGTACCAAATTACAAGGAGTTTCTCATCAAATGGAAAGGATTGCCTGATAGCGAAGCTAGTTGGGAGCATGAAGACACACTATGACAATTCAAGGAGACGGTCCATAAATATCAAGAGGAGAAGCGCAATGAGGACATTGCGAGCTTAAGTGGGGGAGATTGTCACACCCCACCATTAGCAAGATAAACATGAAGTGGATTATTCTAGGAAAGGCTAGATGGAGGAAAACAATCTAGAAGATTCTCTCTCATTCTAGAGAATGGAGGCCCCAAGAATAAACTAGAAGGATCTAGAATATGTATGTACATATGAATGGTATAGAACTATCTAGGAGCTAGAATATTGTAATGTAATCTAGAAGCTTCCCTTGGACTTGGAAGAGGCTATAAATAAGAGTCCCTCCCCTCATTCCAATCCATCCAAGGTTTCAAGTTTTCAAGTCTTGTAATCTCTTTTTTCTTAGTGAAACTTTTTCTTCTCCAACACTTCCCTCTATTCATCTTTCGAGAGTGTCTTGTGCTTATAAGCTCAAATGTTGCGAGGGTTAGGCTGATTTAGTGCTAAAGAAGAGCGCTAAAGCCTCATGGTTGATTTGAGGAAAGTTAGTCCGTGACAATAAACACTTATAACATTAAAAATGTTTCAATACTAATCTTAGGGGCTATAATATAATTCTACTATTTTTTACATTATTATGTTTTAAACTCTTTTCTATAGTTACACCTACATTATTTCTAGTGCGACTCTTACTTGAATACCAAAGTTTAAAACCTGAGTTTTCAATCTCCTTAGCCTTTTCACTAACTTATTTAGTTTCTTGATTACATAACATGTTTTTCTTCCTATAAACCATAATATCAACTAATTCCATTAATTTTCCAATAAGAGTACATATATTCTAAGATCCTATCATAATATCAGTTTCATGGATTAACTTCTTTACCCACGCCTGTCAGTAATGTGGGAATCCTTGCTTAGGCGCTGGTGTAGCGGGAATTGCACACATTTCATTGTATTTTGGCTATACAGCGAGTTGCCTTCAGAGAATGCCCTAGCATTCACACAATGATTTAAAAAATTTATGTCAAGATTTTTGGACAAACTTTACGCTTACCGTCGACTACCTAACACAATCCTCTATTTTTTACATATGGTGTTTGGGACCGGACAATGACAGTGTTATCTAATGAACTTTCAACCAAAGAATGAAAAAAAGCAAGAGGTCGTGCTAATCTTCTCTTCCTCTCTGTGATGTCAATAATGGGAGCACTGTTCGACGAATGGCAGTGCAACATTAAATCGAAAGGAATGGTGATACGATCAAGTTGAATTCCTCCCTTAGGTAGGGTGTTGGGGTATGCATTGAGGCAAGTGACAATGTGCGTTGCGGGTGAGTGCTTTTCTTTATCCTTTATATTCATTAAATTCGTTGAATGATCAAAATTAGCAAATCCAGGATTTATGTTGAAAGGGAGAAAAAATTGGATTTACGAGACGTGGATTTAACTTCCCTTTTTTCATATTAGGTCAGATTTATGTTAAAGTCAGTCATAAATTCTATTAAAATTGTGCTGCCAAACAACTTGTGAAAAAAAATTTAAAAGAAAAGTTGCTGCAATGTTGTAGTTCTAGTTCAAGTCAATACTAGAAAGATAAAGAGTGGAACTAGATTATAGTGTAATCACATCTTATAGACACTCAACAGAACAAAATTCATGCAATATGGTCATGCACAGTTACGTAATGTTGAAAAAAACTTTGGGATTTCAAAACAAAATATTTCAAAATTTAAGTCACAGATGTCAATTTTTAGTTAAGGTACAAGCAGACGTCGTGATTGCTTGTGCAGTTTTGTACAATTACATTAGATAAGAATGATTTATATTTTAATATGGATCAAATTGAGCTGCAGCATAATAGTTCGGTGAGATTAAGGTCAACAATGAAGACCCCAACTTCCTTGCATCAATAGTGAGATTTTGAAATGTTGTATAAGATGCAATTCCATATAATTACAACCAATTTTTGGGAAGCAAGTGTAAATACTACTCTTTGTTATTGTGATTATCTTTTATTTAAGAGATATCATTTAATTAAAAGATTTTTTTTAATTATTGGTATTCACTCAGCGGCGATAACTCTTGTTATATCTAACATGCCAAAAATATTTATCATTTTTTTGTATTACTAATTAGACTTTGAAATATCAATGTGGTTGTTAAGATTTATGACTTATTTATGATGCAAATAATTTCAATTGTGTTATTTATGTGTTTACTCATACTTTTCTAATTTGTCGCTATTTTTATATATGCATAAATTATATAAACTAAAATTGTATGTTGTCATTATTTCAATGCTTTGTTTGGTTTCATGTGCTTTTTTTTTTCTGTATAAGAAAGTTTATGAATGGTAGAACATTAATTGGAAATCTATATTCAATGAGTTAGTGGTCATATTTATAGAAATTTATCATTCAATCGTGTTATATTTTATAAATTTGCATTCAATGTATAATCAACTATCGCGAGCCTTAATTGATGGAATTTTATTTTGTGAATCTAGAATTTGAGTTTAAGCTATTAGGTTGTTGGCTTGTAGGATTTGTCGAAGTTAGTTTTCCATCCTATGTCAGTTAACCAAATTACTATTTTCTAAAATTGTGTATGTACGGTGAACCAAATAAGCATGTAGCAAGATAAAATAGAGAAATTTATATACTTATTAGACAATTCATATGTATTTATATATATCTGACTATTGAACTTTTATATTTGTTTGTATAACATTTAAGATTCTAACAGATAGATATTGCGACACCTGACTTGATGTTGGTGTCGCCTAAGTTTGAACCCACAAAACGATTCGAGATACCATTGATTCTTTCTTTCCTACCTTTATGAGACTGTAAGCAATGCAACAAATGATTGTGTGGAGGTTGGCTGTTGGACTCTTAAGTTTATTTTTGCATAATTTATAGACCTTATTTTTTATGTTTGTTTGTAGTTTGGTGCAAAGAAATAATTGATTTCTTGAATCAGCTAAAATTTGATTAAAAAAATTATCAATTTGTTCTTTAAGCACTAATGAAATTCCATAGTTATATTTTTTTTGTATTATAAATATATATAAAAAAAAATCCTTTCAAATTCATTATATTCATGCTCACATTCTTAGAATTTATATGATTCATGATATGAAGTTTTTTCATCAAAACATTACCAAAATGTACAAATTTTTTTTAGCATCGATCAGTAACGTTTTTTGCATAAAGGTTGATTTACATACATATAAGTTCCATAGAATATATATATATATATATATATGATTATTATTCTATTTGAGAAAACTATTTTTATTTGAGTGTTATTTTATGCTATTTTTATTAAATAAAAAAAATCATTTCATTAAATTTTGAATGAAAAATTGATACATTTTAAATGTAGAGGCATGTCTGAATGACCTGCAGTCTTGTCATCCAAGTTAAAGCGTAACAAAGCTTCTTTACTTGCTTCATTGAATATATTGTCATATGAGCCATCTTATTCTTGTCAATTTCTTCTTCTTGTTCTCATTTTTGTGATTTTTTTTATAAATCCTTTAGAATGACTTGGTGATTCTCAAACATCCACACACTCCATCACCAAGGCACTTCACACATTATGATCATGAAAATGTTTTTTTTATCTTTTTCTTTTTGGAATTTACATTTTTGGGCTATGGGTTCTACATATTATTGGTATGGTTGGCATTACTTCATTTCAAGTTTCAATATCATTCCCTCTATGAGGCTTATGCATATTTGAGGGGGATGGAATTGCCAGTATAAGAAATATGCCTCTATAGTTGTTTCATGTAGTTGTGCTATATTTGAAGGGGATGGAGTTGCTGTTTAAGAAGCATGACTTTTTGGCATTCTATTCTTTATTATAAATATTTAATTTTTAATTCCAATTTAAACCAACTGCTGTTAAATCTTGAAACAAAATGCCAAACAGCCGTACCGAACAATTTTCAGGATTTAACAGCATTGGATTTAATAAATCTAGATTTACAGGATTTACTAAATCACACTTAAAGCCAAACAGCCTCCCAACCTGGTACTTGCATTATTTTCCCTGTAATAAAAAATTCAAATCAAGAAGAAGACGACTTCTCTGAAAATATGAACATGCTAATTGTTGGGTTTCTTGTGAAGACTACACTAATGGTATGAGAAGCTTGGCTAAAATTAACTGGGAGTGAATTTGACCATCCTGTTCTTATTCTTTGTAACGTTCTATATTGAATTATGACTTTGGGCTACTCGTGTATGACTACTCTTATTTTGTAGACTGAAGGCTGATGCAGGAATGTTGAAGTTTTGGACATGTTACGTTCTCGAGGAGCAATGAGCGATCCTATGGGTTGCCTTGGACTTGTTTCTAAATCAGAGTGTAAGGTGTCTGATTAGTTGTATCTACTACTTTTCAATCTGGTTTTAGACAATTTATTTCTCAATCTGACTTTTTTTTTTAATCTTATTTGCAAAGCATTGAAATCACATTGATACTGTAGATGTGTCTATCTGTTTAGGTGTATGATTACCTTCTCCAAAAAGCTGCTTGCAACCAGAGTAGGGAAGGAATTGAAAGTTTTAATAGAAGATGTGAAGAGTTCAATAAAGGAAATGAAAAGCGCAAGCTAACAAAGGCTGAAATCTTGAATATTATCAACTTGAGGCCATCCAGCCTTGCCGAGCTTTATGCGGTATCATCTCAATTGGTTATTATTAAGTATCTTCTAACTTGAAAACAAAATTTTATTTATGTACAATTGAAGCATGCCACTATTTTATGGTTCTATATGATATATTTTACTTCATAGCATTAAGTATCATTTTTAATAGCTTCTTGGGATCAGCTTTATGAATCCCTATTTTATGTTTCTTCACACTGAATACTTCTTAAGGTGTTAAACCTATTCGTTAAAATTCGTTTTAAAACGTTTATTTATGCTATCTTAGGTCCACACTCTTTAACTTCATAATCTTCTGACATTAATTTTTAGTCTGTTTTTAACTATCTTTGGTAAATATTTTTGAAATCATTTTTATAACATAATCTCTCTTAATTTATTTTTTCTGCTTTTGCTACACATATCTCTTAATATTCTTATTTTGGACTCTTAATTTTGCTTTTAACTCTTTTTTCACTACCGAATACTTGGATCCACACAACATAGCTAACCTAGTTGAAACTTTATGAAGTTTTATCTTTTTTAATCCGCATGATATCCTCTTATCACATATATTCTTGTGGCTTTTCTAAATTTTAACAAATTGATTTAACTTCATAAATTATATCCTTCTCTTTACCTAGAATTTTCATGATTATATCCAAAATATTTAAACCTATTTTTTGGTATCATTTTATCTTTTATTAATATTAGTTGAATATTGTTAATATTGCTCATGCTAAAATTGTTGATCATCAATTCAACCTTCATTTTATGGCTTTAAGTTTCTGTGATTTTTGGATGAAAGTAATATGAAATCTTTAATCTATAGTCTTACTAATTTTGTGAGTTTTGGCCAAAGCTACAGAGTTTCAAGGGAAACTTTGGAGTTTAATATGAAACTCTTAATAATTGTAATGAAATTTCTCTAAAACTTAGTGATCATCAAAGTTCTATTAGCTTATTAATGTCTCAATAATTTTATTGTCTACCATAACTTAAACCTTAATGTTCTTTATTTAATACTTCAATTATGTTATAAAAACTTTATAATAAACGTGTAACAACATCAATCTAAACTGAATCTCAAAACAATGAAAATATTGAAGCCACCAAAAGCAAAAATATTATGATAGGACGAAAACGCAGTTTCAAAACCTTGCTTCACACTTCTCAAAAATGATAGTATCTGTTGACCTTACAGCTATTTTCATCTCTCTTCTCATAGACTTGTGCTACATTATCAAGTTTTCCTTGTGTATTATTCCTAAATGAGCCTCTTTTTTGTAATTTTTTTTTTCTGGCTTCCCCTCTTCTATTAATGTCTCCACTGCAGTGTTATTTATAACTCACTACTGCTTATCCAAAAGCATATTTCGTGTTAGAAATGTTAAGGATTCCAGATCTGTCATTATCAAATCTTCTTTCAGTTGACGCATGACACTTGGATTGATCAGACAATCCTTGCTAGTGGGTTTGATTGACATTTGCATATCAATCTTTTAATTTATGGATACGACTGAATTTTTTGAGTGGAAGTGAAGTGGTAAGCCGGGTAGAGGTTTAGTTGTGAACCCAGGGAGGTGACTTTTGGTCATTGAACCAAATTTGGTAAGATGATGAGGTAGCTGTGTTATGGAGTGCTTGAATATATGAGTTCAAATGGGTACCGGGTTGGTATGGACAGAGAGAGAGAGAGAGAGGCACTGAGCATGTGTGGTATAGGTTAGATTTTGTGTTGTTTTGTTTATTAGTTTTATTGAAACTTACACTTGTTTGAAATTAATTTATATCTAAATAAAGTAAACCTACTAGTTCCAATTGTATCTCTAGAAAAAGTAAAGGCTGTATAGGAGTAAAATAGTGAACATACAAAGTAATAATAAAAATATTATCTACTAGAAGATAAACTTTGTGTGGATCAGCTAAACTACGATACCGGAGTTAACCCAAACTACAACAGAATGATAATATTATTGCTGAAATTTTAAGGGAGTTACAAATGAAAAATATGGAGCTAAATATAGTCGAAGGACCACCTGTCCTCGAATGTAGTCCTACCAAGGGAGAAACACATCGGTAACAAAAAATCTAAAGCTAAACTGACCTAAAACATAAGTAACATATATATAGTCTTAGGGTAAAGAGGAGTGGGCCCCATTCCAAATAGGTGGAAACCGTGTGCAAGAAAGAACCACTCAATCTTTCTCCTACTTGGACCGAGCCGGTTTGCGTGTGGCCCTTGTTGCTCCCGCACGGACATAGGCACCTCCCCTTCCGCGTCAGGCCTAGTTGCCTCCACGTTTTCCTCCCAAGGTTTGGCGTGCTTCGATCACATCTTTAGAAGTTGAAACTTCTAGTTCCTCATAGCATAAAGTCAAACCTGCCATGTTGAAAGTAGCAAAAATGTTGTAGTCCGTTGATAAGTTGATCTTGTAGGCATTGTCATTTAGCCTTTTGAGAATCTTGAAAGGTCCATTTGCCCTTGGCTTGAGTTTCCCAAAGGATCCCATCGAAATTTTTTTTTTCTTCAACCTGATCCACTCTAGATATCCCCTTATTGGAAAGTCACATTCTTCCTAGTTTTATTTGCTTGTGCCTGGTACTTGCAGTTCTACTTGGTGATTTCTTTTCCCACTTTTTTGTGTAACATTTGAATCTCTTGCACCCTCTCCTTAGCATCCTCACTAATTTCTGATGTCGGAAGGAGTAGTACTGAGTCAATTAGACTGAGGGAGTTACGTTCATACATGATCTCAAATGGGGTGTGCCCATGGTCTGACTCAAGGAGCTATTGTAAGTTAACATAGCTTGGGCGAGAATCACTGCTTAATATTTTTCCTCACAATGCACCTCAGAAGATTCCTTGGACTCTTGTTCACAACATTCGTTTGACCGTCCGTCTGTGGATGACTTGTTGATTTGAATTAAAGCTTAGTACCAAAGCTTCTCCCATAGGGAGCTCTAGAAGTGACTAAGAAGTTTTACATCTCTATCGGAAGTAAGGGTCCTGGATTTTTTGTGCAGTCTCACGACCTCTTGAAGTACAAGTTAGGTAAATGTGATGGCAAGGTAAGAAATGCGTCATCTCTAAAAATCTATTCACCATAACCATCACAACGACTTTATTCTAATGTGTTCTAGGAAGATCTACCGCAAAATCCATGCTAACATCCACCCTCGGGATCTACGGTAATAGTAATGTGGTGTATAATCTTGTCTTGTGCTCTCTGATTTTGGCCACATGACAAATTCTACGTTTTCTGACGTGCCAATCCACATTTCTCGTCATTTGGGGCCAAAAAAGTGTTCTCGCACGAATGCGAGTCTTGTCTCTGCTAAAATGTCCTGCAAGTCCTTCGTTGTGACTTATTGAATACTGAATTCTCTCGATGAACATCGAGGAATACACAACATATTTTGGTAGAATAGATAACCATCATCCCTGTAATGCTGTGCGGTAGTCTTCTCTTGACGTTGCTCCTAGAACTCTCTGAAATCTTCGTCAGCCCTGTACAACTCCTTCACTACCTCAAATCCTATGACTCGAATTTGCATGAAAGTGATCTACAAATGAAGGCAACTTAGTGCATCTGCTACTTAATTTGGCTTTCCGTCTTGTGTTTAAGCACAAACTAGAACGATATCAAGAACTCACCTAGGACACGTGTCGACCCTTCAATTTGTTATGGCTGATTAAGAATCCCAAAGCATCATGATTCAAGATGAACTTGCTCATCAGTAGACAATGACTCTAGCGATTAAGGGCTCTTACAATCACGTAAAACTCTTAGTCGTACGTCAAATATTTTTTTTGGACTCATCTAACTTCTCACCGAAGAAGGCTATGAAGTAGCCTCCCTAGCTCAATACGGCTCCGATCCTCACATTTGAGGCGTTACAATCTATCTTGAATAGCTAATTGAAGTTAGGCAATGCAAACACCCGTGCCCGAGTCATTTTCTTCTTTCGGGTATCGAAACTGGATTGAGCTGTCCTTTTTCAGAAGTTCTGCTAGGGAGTTGTGATGGTGCTGAAGCTCCAATGAATCACCTATAAAATGTTGCTAGCCCCCAAAATTCTCTCAACTCGATAAAATACTTTGGGGGTGTTCAGCTCACGATAGCCTAGATCTTTATAGGATTTTTCCAAGTACCCGCAATAGATACAATATAGCCCAAGAAGCATACCTGTGCTGTTAGGAAGTGGCTTTTCTTTGGGTGGTCATATAGTTTCTCCGGTCACAAAATTTTGTAGACCGTCCTCAAGTGCTGCAAGTGCTCTTTGTATCTTCTGTATGCCAAAATATCATCGAAGTTCATTCCACTGTGACCTTTCTGATGTGAGCACAAACCACTTGATTTATTAACCTCATCAACGTGTTGGGTGCATTGGGCAATCAAAAAGGCATGACCGTCCACTCATATAATCCATCTCGGATCTTGAAAGCTATCTTTTACACTTCCATTGGTTTCATCTAAATCTGGTGATATCTGCTGCTTAAGTCGACCTTCAAAGAGACAATGGCTCCATGCAATTGATCAAAGAGGTCATCCAGGTGAGGTATGGGAAACCTATATTTGATTTGTTGATGGTTTTGCTATCAATGCACATCCTCCATGATTTATTCTTTTTTGGCACCATCAAGGTGGGGACAACACACAGACTGGTACTCTCTCTGATCAAACCTCTCGCAACGAGTTCTTGTACTTGTTGCTGTAATTCCTCATGCTTCACAGGTCTCAATTTGTAGGTAGTCCCATTTGGCAACACTGTTCCGGTTATGAGATCTATGACATACTGAATTTCCCTTGATGGCATTCTCTCAAGAAGGCTAGCAGTCATAATGTCCCCAAAATCAAATAGCAGTGGTTTATGGACTCTGAGATCTCAACCTCCACTTCAATTCCCTAAAACATAATTAAAACTGGTGCAACTAGAGCCTCTCTTAGCTATTGTATAATGGTGGCTCTTGGGACTATCGTCTCCTTCGTGATGTTTACTCTCGCATCCCTAACAGGCAAAAGAATTAT